CCCCAAAACCCCAAAACCCCAAGCAATTAAGATATATAATTTGGAAAAATTATAATAAAAATAAATTTTTTTATTGAAATTAAGCTTAAAATTGGAAATCATCGAATATAATTCAAAATATTCAATTAGGCTAATTAGATAGCTATTTCAAAGTGAATCATTGGGTCCGTTTATAGCAGTCTTGATCTTGTATCTACTTCTTTTGATTTTTTTATCATCTTATTTATAAATATCTTTCAGCAATTCATTCAATATATCATCCTTCTTTTTTGATTTTCTTTATGGACTGCTATCTTATTTTAGGGTCTTATCTCTTAACAGTTATTGTTAGGCCTTTGAGTCTCCATTTTAAAGGGGATCTCTATCAATACTTGGATGTAATGTATCGAAATTTATTTGAGATTTATTGAATGACCAGCTATCATTAAGAGTCAATTGCTCCTTCCTCTCATCTGAATTAAAATTGCCTTGACCCTTTTCAATGTCTGAGTTTTTAGAGTCCTCTTCTATGGATTCATCTATAGAGGAGTCAAACATATTGCTTTCATTAATTTTTGTGCCTGTAGTATTCTTACCTCCATCTCTCAATGGCCTTTTACTATTAAATGTTGTTTTATTCTAGAACTAGCTTAAATATATTGACCCAGTGACAGTATTAGGTGTTGTTATTGAAGAGTGATCATTTAACTTTATTTTATTAAATATTTCAGGATTAACAACCCTAGAAGTTCTTCTATCCAACTTAATCAATTCTCTATCGGTTGAAGCTTGGTTTAATGTATCGTCCCCATCATTCATGAATCCTAAGTTTTATAAAATTATTGACTATCTCATATTAGCATTTGCAATTTTCTCTTAGGTCAGCTTTGGATCAGTGAATCCGATCATTTTAGCGATAGATTTTCTTCTTTTATCAAAGGGCTAAATCATTACAGTTTTGAATCTTTTGTAGTATTCCATATCTTCAATATCTTCAGATGAGTTACTACTCTCAGGTGATTCTGTTTACTTTATATCTGTTTAAGATAAAGCCGATTATTTCTTTTTTTCTTCTTCTACCTTTTTCTTAAGGTATTTCTTTATTGTGTTAATCATTTTATCCTTAGATTCTTCATAATCAAATCTATATTTCTCATGTAGTCCTCTAAGCAGTTTCTTGTCTATTTCATTTAGATCTTTAGCTTCATAGCTTTAAATCGTATCTTTCAGCTTTATTGTGAATAATTTTTAAATGTTATGGTTTTTATGTTAAAGCATTTTGAATGCATCTAGTTTCTCCTTGTCAGAGTCAGATGAACTTTATGTATCATAATCCAAGACATTTCTTCTTTGAAATTTTAATAATAGTTTTTGTTTCTTGGTCAATAGTACATAAGTTAATAGTTTCATCTGTCTAATCATTTTAATCATTTATATACAATCTAGTTCTTCAGCTACTTTTCTCTCTCCTTTTCTATACAAAAAATGCTTCATAAATCTGGGTTTCTATTTAAGATACCTCTTTTTTCTAAAGCATAGGCAAAAGAAAAGGTAATGAAAAATATCTGATGCATAATAAGAAAATCTCTCTCTAGTTGTAAGCATTTTATGAATTTATCTAGAAATCTTGCTGGTAATGTAGTTTTCTGAATTGATAAAGTTTGAAAAAATCTAGAGTTTTTCATGAACTTTTTCAGCCTTATTCTCTTGAAACTTCTCTTATATAATACTTGAGAATTTCTTAATTAGACCAATACCTTGAGATTCATTGACTGGAGGTGAAGGTTCTATACTTAATACCTTATCTTTCTTAGGCTGCAATGAGGACATTCTATCAACTTTTTGAATATCTATGTTGAGTTTATTCTAACTTTCATTATGACCTATATTAGTGTTGCTACGTTTATGGTTATTAGAATGATGTGTGTCTGGGGTTTTATCGAAATTTTCAAGTTGATAGATTTTTTTGATGACGCTCGAATAAAATAATCTCTCAGAAAATATACTAACGAGTAAAGCTCCAATGAAAAATATACTTGATTGGAAACCTCCAACATCCCCTAGGAAATCACTGAACCCATAAATGTTTCTTTGATTATTGTCATACTACTTATCATACCTGAAATAAACTTGCGCAAGTTCAAACCATGATGATTATGGTTCTAAAGTTTCCCTGAAGTTTTCAACTTAGTAAAATTTAAGCTCGTCATCAGGCAGAATACCTGATAAGTAAGAGTCAGACAATTGAATTTTATTTCTTTTGAAATAAATATTAGTCTTTTTATTATATCCCGGTAGAAAAGACCAGTAGAAAGTATCATCCAGATAGCTTTTAATAGGCTAATCATAGCTAGTTGAGTCAAAGTAGTTGTTGACAAAAATAAATGAAAGTTGCGCACCTTTTTGTGTGATGTATTTATCAATATCCTCTAGAGGCATGCATTTATTGAAAGTTGTAGTGTTTCTGCACTTAGTAACTTAGATTTTGACATATCTAAATTGATCAGAGTAGTATTAGCCGAAAAGTGAGTAATTTTTCTATGCCAAACAATAGTATTTAGCTATTCCTATATACTCTACTGATTCTTAATCATCAGTCTAGAGTCCATTAGGACCGCATTTCTAAAAGCCAATCTCTATATCTCCAGCTTTTGTGTTGTACCTACCAGTGCCGTTTTCATTCTAAACCCATTTCCTGCTGACTTCATTTATATTGATAGTAAAGTATCTCTCGTTATATATGTCATTATTTGCTAAATCATTTATCAAAAAAGCAAAATCAAAGCCACTATTGAATGAATATTAACAATTTATGAGATTACTTCAAGTATTTTACTTCATAATCATGATTGATATTTTGATAAAATGTCTATTTCTTAATCTCAGATGATGATTTTTCTAAATAATTGTCACATTCATTAAGATTACCAATAAGTATAATTCCTTTGTAGAATGCAAAAGCGATCAGACTTGTAAGTAGAATGAAGGAAATTGTAGCACCTACCCTAGTTTTGAATTAACTAAATAAATTTAAATTTTTGCTCAATGGAATTTATAAAGTGAAGAGGTATTTGTTTGAACATACTTACTCATCTCCTTTATAAGTAAGAGTCACGGACTTTCCATATAAATCAACAGTCTTAAAAATGTTGCAAAACTTTCGCCTTCTCTTCCTTATCAATCTGTCCTGTCTAACTTATAGAGTTAACCTGATATTAGAATACTTTCATGTCTGAGAGGGTCGTTTTAATGTAGATCCATTGAATTATAATGAGGAAATAGATGTTAATTAGTAAATGTAAAATTTTACAAGTAAAATCTATAAATTATTAATGAAAGATTAAACGATAAAACTATGGTATTGAATTCAAACAATTGACTTATGATAAATGTTTAAAGTATTAATTCAGCTGATTATATCCACAAATTCTTATTTTATACATTGAGTCAAAGATGTGCAATTCAGATAAATGGGGTTTTGGGGTTTTGGGGTTTTGGGG